GAGTGATGTCCAAGAGCTAGAGAGCTAGAGTTTGAAACATTAGAAAGTTAAGAAGATAGATGCAGATGAAGAGGGGATGGGGTGCTAGGGAGCATAGCATATTTGGGGAACTCTAAATAGTTTGATATATTTAGAGTTGAGTGGGGTGGAGATGTGTGGAGAGTTGAAATAAGGAAGGCAAGGACAGGATCCTGCAGGCCTTTTTCATGTCCTGTCGTGGAGGTGTGAGCTTTATCCTCAAGGCAATCGGAAGCAATGTCTTTTTGGTTGAATAGGATGAGTGGGCTGGAGAGAGAGGGTGTTCCAGTGTAGATTCAGAGTTATTAGGAGAAGTCAAAGTACACATTGGTTATCTTGTTAAAATCTCACAGTGATCTTCATATCCATACTATTACCATCTCCTCTTTACCATTTTACAGGGTAAGAACAGGCTTAAGAAATATAGCAATTTGTCCAAAGTTAGATGGCTGGCTGGTAAGTAAGTGGTGGGGTCAAGCCTAGACTCTGTCTCTTTGTTTCACGCCCTTTTTCTGCCTGCCCTGGGGAGAAGTTCCCAGAAGGGAAGTTGAAGAGTTTGTCTAGAGAACAAGGAATCTGGAAGAGCCTGACAATTCTTAGGTTGTTTATTTTCTGATTCTCTCATGTTTTGATTTGTAAATATAAAAAAGATCGCTACTTTTTTTTTCTGCAGTAAATAAATGTTGCTAAATACTCCCCACAGCATGTCTGGTTAAGCAGGCAAACAGTAATACCAGTATCACAGTATCATTAGTATTGGAAATAAGTGGTGAATGCTTGGTAATTACTTACTAGAGAAACATTTCAGTTTGCAAAAGGATTTCAGTGTGTCCAGTTCCAATTATAAATTTACATAATACTGTAGTGGAATGATATGAAACTAGTTCTCCTTTCATAATTATTTTTAAGGCTTCCAGTGTTTAATTTACCCAGAAACAAAACATGACATCCCTTGAACTCTGAGACACTGCCTTTGAATCAGCTTGCTCACCCATGGCCTGGGCAGCCAGGATCACTTAATAGTGAATTCTAGAATATCTTAAGTAAGTCAGGTTATCCAAAATAGAATCACAGGGTCAGAGGAAGACCATTTTAAAGCTCTTGACAGACCTAGTCAAACTGCTTTTCAGAAAGTTCAAAAAGCTTCGTTAAAACCTAATATACATAAAAAGCTTTGAGTCTTGTTGAAAATTGGTCATTTAAAAACTGAGTTCCAACAAATGAGTGGTATATAGGAAATTCTTTTATTAGAGAAATAGGAACGTGCAGAAGTGGTGTTAAATTGCAGCAACAGGAGTTTTAATTACTCTTGAAGAAGATTTTTTAATATTGGAAGTTGGTAGATCTAGAATCAGTTACTGAAAGAAGTAAGATCTGCTTTTCTAGAGCTAGAAATAGCTGTCTGGTAGTTTTGAGGCATTAATTCATTTATTTGGCCAACATTTACTGAGTGCCTTACCCTATGCTGGCAAGGCTCCAGGCCTAGACAGGCTGACTCTAGGAAAATGACCTCTAGAGAACCTAGAGATTCTGTATTCAATGTTTTCTGCATGAATTGGTAAGGAAGGGAATCACCTGATGGTAAACAAGGATCAATAAAATAAATAGATTTAAACAGACAATCAGAAACACTTTTATTCCCAGAAGAAATGTATGCTTTGATAATGAAAAGCTTGTTTGTTGCAAATGCCATTCGACTAGGTGACATTTTACCTTTAAGATCTTTAAGATCTTTAATAAATCACTTTTTTGCCTTGTTTTTATCCTCGCTAATTTTGGGGTTTATGGGATGATGGTGTGAAAATGAGTTAGGTAATATTGTATAATGTCTTTTTCTGTGTGTGTGTTTTTCTTAAAAAGAAAATTAGTACCATTGCTTGCTACCATTATTACATAAGATTCATATAGTCCTATCTGTTTATAAAGAACTTTTCGCTTTTATATAGTAATTTTCCCAAGCACCTAGGAAGTTAGCTTATAATCAGCTTTTCTTTTTGCATGTCGGGAAACAGCAGCTTGGAGAGGGTAAGCATTTTTTTTTAAGGCAAGCGTGATGGGTTTGAGAGTTGGGAAGGGGTGGAAGTAGAGGTTGGATATAGGCAGACCATTTAGTTTGGCTCTTGCAGTTGTCCCTTAGGAGAAAGCAAGCCTTTGGCCAAAAGCAATGGCCTTGCAGATGGAGAGAACCAACAGGTTTGGGATTAAAACTTTAGAACTTGTTCACCCATTGTCAAATGGGGTGAACAGAAGAGGGAGGAATAAAGGTTGACCAATTCTGGGATTGTAATTTATTTTTTTTAGGCTGTGTAACAGCTATAAAAAAATAAAAACATATAGGTCCTACTAGTTGTTATGATGTTATATATAGGCAAACAGTAAACAATGTCTGCAGCAAGGAGATTAGAATCAGAATTTGAGTGGTACTTTGCACTTCCTGTGGAGTGTTATGAACCATTGTATTTCTTTTCAGAAATGAAGTTGATGATGCTTGTGGAAGATAGGACTAACTGGCCATAGAGGCAAAGAATGATAAATGCTGTTTGTCCTGAATGCTCAAGACTTTTAATCATAACCTCCAGTCTCTTTCCATATAAACTTTGTGTTTAAATGATTGAATCCGGAGTACCTGCACTCACATTTTATAATAGATAATTTCTCTAGTGATGGGACATGAGTGATGTTCCATGGCCATTTTTTAAGAGTATATTCATTTCATTAGTGGTCAGAAGTTTGTTTGTTTGTTTGTTTGTTTATTTAAACCACATGAAAGTGCCTCTGGAGCTCTGAACACAGTGGTCAGAGGCCAGTGCCATGAGCTAGGTCCAGTTTAGGATTTATGTGGCCTTTGGGGTAAGCAAATAAACTGGTGATGCTTTGGTGTGACAGTGGCTTTTGAGAGTATGTACTGTCACCTCCTATCAATTCTTACATCATTAGTAAGGAATTACAGTAACTTGCTGTGGAATTACTTCAGGGATATTTAAATACTCTCAAGGTCAAGGTTAGTTCATTTTGCTCCATCACAAGACTTCTTTTTCAAGTGCACTTTTTTGATTTTTAGTCTGAAATAGACTTTTAAAAAAAGCTAATTGATTCTTTATTTTTAAATATCTTAAAATAATAACTGGAGCCTTTTAATTTTTTTATAAAACACCCAGCATTGAGCTGATTACTTTCATAATAGATAAGAACAAATGATTGATATTTGTATATGTTTTTTCAGTTCCTTCTGAAAATATGTAGCTGAGAACTCTGTTAACAGAAGCAAAATTATGTATTAACTTTGCATTTTGATTATATTTAGTAATTTGGAATGCAGATTTATAGGACAGATAGAACTGTGGGCTGCATGTGTTTCTCATTTGGTGCATTTGACTCTCGAGTCATGGACTTCACTGACTTCCTATTTCAGAGCAAGTTGCTGAAGTAACAGAAAGTAGAGATGTTAACTCTGAATTTCAACAGTTTTCCTTTTCTCTATTTAAAAATTTTTAAAAATCTTTTTACACTTTAATGTATAGACAACTTCGAACATTCACAAAAGTAGACAGCGATATAGTGAATCCCTGTCACCTATTGCCTAGCTTCAAACATGGGCCATCCTCCCTTCTGTATTAGCTCGGCGCAAATCTCAGACATCATGTCATCTGTGAGGTGTTTTCATTTTTAGGTAGGAAGGGTATTACCTTGAGTCTGCTTACTGATTTACTGAGAGCTGGATATTGAAAATGGACAGGCATTGAGGGTAGACTAGGGCTTTGTGGTAGAGCTGCTGCCAAGGTGTGTTATTTTGAATTTCTGCAACTCTTTCTAAGATCTGATGAATGTTTCCTCTACAGTGTAACACAGAATTTGTGTGTTGTTTCAAAAATTTCAGTTAGCCCTCTATCATCTTCCAAAAAGACGTTGAGATGACTTTAAAAATCTTATAAACATATAAGATTTTTTAAAAAGAGGAAGAAATCCTGTGCAAAGAGCGAATGAGAGTCATCTTGTAATATGAAGCCACTTACAGAAAATACAAGACAGGCATGATGCAAGACCTTATACAGTGATCAGAGATCACTGTATAAGATTTCTTTCTATTACTGGAGACAGATTTCCCCCATGGGATCTTCTAAAAGGTGATACCGGGGCAGCAGGTGGGAGATGATAGAGTAATTTGGTCTCTGAGCAGATAGTGGTCTGGGCAGCCCAGAGCACTTGTATTTGAGGTTTGCAGATGTAATAACCAGCAGTAGCTGTAATTTATTGAACTCCTATTATGTATCAGGTTTGTGCCAAGTGATTTTATTTTACTTAATCTTCAATACATTCCTGGAACATTCCTGTTCCATAGATACTTCTTTTCCCCCTATTTTTAGTTGAGGAAATTGAAATGCAGAGAAATAATCTGCTGAAGTTATGCAACTGTTTATAGTATTTGACATCTAAATAAGTGATTATTGATTTATCCTGCTGAAGTTATGCAACTGTTTATACTCAGTGTACTAGAGTATTTGACATCTAAATAAGTGATTATTGATTTATGTTTTGTGGGTGTATGTATTTGAGTATGTACTTATTTTTTTTTTGAATAATAAATTTTGACTTGTCTTTAGAATAGCGATCCCCAACTTTTTTGGCACCAGGGACTAGTGCCCCTATGAGAATCTAATGCCCGATGATCTGAGGTGGAGCTGAGTTGGTGATGCTAGTGCTGGAGAGGGGCTACAAATACAGATGAAGCTTTGCTCACCCGCTTGCCGCTCACCTCCTTCTGTGCGGCCCCATTCCTAATAGGCCACACACTGTTTTGCTGACTTGGGGTTGGGGACTCCTGCTTTAGATCATTGTCTGACTGGAAATGTGGTCACTTTGGAGAGACCAGGGTTGTGGGCCATGGTTCATGATAAACCTTTGTATCCATGATACATGTTGATAATTGTTATTTTCATTGTACATTGTCATTTCTGGATTTCATTCTTTTAATTTTAATACAGAGAGAAAGGGAGCACAAAGAAGAGAAAACTGGTTTGTTCAGGAGCACAGTGAAGAATGAAGCCAGTGAAAGGAGAGCTATGATAACTCCTGCTCTCCGAGAAGCCCTTACTAAACAAGGTGAAAATTCTCAAGAATTGTTGTTATAATACTACACTTTTAAGCATTCTAATTTAATACCTAAAAGAGGAAGCATAAAACAGAAATTGCCAAGAGGAAAATAGGTAAAAAAATCCTTCTCTAGTTACCCCAGCAGCTATGTTACTATGCCAGTTTTAGCTGTTTAAGGAGTCACCGTCTCTTTTCTGTGGACCACTTGTATGTTGGCCACCTGGGCCCGCAAATTCCTCTTTGCTTAGTTTATTGGGATGTTAACATCAGTGTGGCTGAGGTATGCAGATAGAAAATGCCATTACTGGGTTTTTTACAAATCACTGTTAAGGGAAAATTATTAAATGTAGAAAAAAACTTATATTGATATTATGCTGAGTTAATTAGAGGTGTTTTATGTAGAAGTATATCTGGATTTTTGTGGTCATACCTTATTAAAGAGGCTATAGTTGGAAATATAAATCATATTGGTTTCTTATACAAGAAAAAGGTGAATTGGGAGTCAGTAGACTGACTTCCCTCCTTTCCTCTCTCCTTCTTTCTATATTTTTTGAGAACCTTTTTTGTGATAGTTATGGCAATGCAGAAAAACAATACATTCAAGGACCTGTCAAATTGTTAGAGGAGACAGACAAGCATATACAGATTTTATATGTATGATACATATAAGTTCATAAATATTGTATGTAAATATTATTACATGTAAAATATATGTGTGTATAATCTGTCTTTTAATTAGGATATATAGACTAAAGTGATTTTATGGTAGGTTTAAATTTATCATTTTGCTGTTTTCTGTTTGTCTCGTGTTCTTTGATGTTCTTTTTTCTGTTTTTGTGCCTTTTAGATTAATTGTTTCATAATTCTGTTTTATATCCTTTGTTGGCTTATTAGCTATTGTACTCTTTTGTTATTTAGTAGTTGCTTGAGGTTTTATACTATATCTCTCTATTATATCACAGTATGTTTTTGAGTGGTGTTATACCACTTCCTGTACAGAACAACCTTCATAGTATGTTTTTATTTTCTCTTTCTCAACCTATAGGAAATTGCTATTATACATTTTACTTTTTACATATGTCATAAACCCCATACTACATTGTTATTATTTATTTTGTTTTAGCCAATTACCTATTAAAAATTTAAATAATTAGAAATAATCATATGTTGTCTCATGTAGTTACTACTTTTGGTGCTTTTCATTTGTGCAGGTCTGAGTTCTCTCTGATAGCCTTTTCTTCTGCCTAAATGACTTCTTTTAGCATTTCTTGTAGTGTGGATTTGTAGGTGATGAATGTTTCAACTTTCGTATATCTGAAAAAGGATTTATTTTGCCTTCATTTTTGAAGGATATTTTTCGATGGATATAGAATTGTAGGTTTACGGCTTTTTTTTTCTGTCATGTTGTTTCACTGTTTGTTTGCATTGCTTCTGATGAGAGCTCTGCAGTCATCTTTTGTTTGTTCCTTTGAATGTAATGTTTTTTACACCCTGGCTACTTTTAAGATTTTCTCTTAATTACTGATTTTGAGCAATTTAATATTTTCTTTTATTTAAGATTTGTTGAACTTCTTTGTTCTGTGGATTTATAGTTTTAATCAAATTTGGACACATTTTGGCCATTATGTCTTTATTTTTTTTGTCACCCCTTCTCTCTTCTCTTCCATGGGGATTCCAGTTACATGTATAATAGGCCATCCGAATATGACCCACAGCTCACTGATTCTGTTTTTATTTTTTAAAATTCTTTTTTTCTGTCCTGCTTTTTATTTTGGGATAGTTTCTATTGCTCTATCTCTAGTTTTAATTTAGTGATCATTTCTTCTCTAATGTCTAATCTTCCATTAATTCTATCCAGTGTATTTTTTAGCTTAGACTTTGTAGTTTTTGTCTTTAGAGGTTCAGTTTGGATCTTTTTATATCTTCCACATCTCTACTTAACTTTTTGAGCCTATGGAACACAGTTATAACTATTTTAATGTCTTAATCTGATAATGTGGGTCATTTCTGGTTCAGTTTTTGTTGCTGGATTATTTTCCTCATTATGGTCTTGTTTTCCTATCTGTTTACATGCTTGATAATCTTTGATTAGATACTAGATCTAATTTTACCTTATTGGATGCTAGATAGTTTTGTATTCCTATAAATATTCTTGAGCTTTGTTCTGAGGCTAAGTTACCTGGAAACAGTTTTGAGCTTTTTAATTTTTTATGACTTGTTAAATGAGACCAGAGTCAGCTGAATATACAGCTAATAATATCCCACTATTGAGGCAAAACACTTCTGTGTAGTCTGCCCACTGCCTTGTGAATCTTGTTTCCTGTCTGGCTGGCAGGAACAGACACAGTTCTCTGCTGGTTGTGAGTACCAGGTATAGCTCTAATCCTTTCAGATGGTTCTTTCCCATTCTCTCACATATGCACTAAGTAGTACTCAGGCAAATACTTACAGTAATCCTCTGCAGAATCTCTTTGCCGTTTTTGTCTCTCTGGTGCTCAATCCTGCTAACTCTAGCCATGAGGGCTCCTCAGATTCTCATTTTGATGTCCTCAACTCAGGGAGCTTTATTTGTGTTGCCTCTCCCTGCTACAGGGCCTGGAAACTTTCAAGGCAGTAAGGTTGGATAATGGTAGTGTTCATTTTGTTTGGTTCCCCTCTCTCTGGGATCACCATCCTTTGTTGCCTGATGTTTCATGTCCTGAAAACTGTTGTTTCATATACTTTGTCCATTTTTTTTGGTATTTCAGGTAGAAGAGTAAACCATCTGTTACTCCATCTTGATCAGAAGCAGAATTCTGCACTATGATTTTCAGCAACTGCATACTGTTAGCTTATCTTGGTGCTGTGGTCAGCTACAGTTCTTTCTGTACTGTGCATTTTTTTTTTTGTACCTAACTAAATGCAAAATCTTGTAGAAGTCTATGTATCTTGGGAAAGAATGATATAAAGAACTAATACAATAGAGTGCGATTTCTATGATAGTGATATGAACAACACATTATATAGGAATCCAAAAGAAGAACTAGAATTTTCTCTGGGATTCATTTAAATGTTTATTCTGTATTGAGGTTAGCTATTCACTTGGACTCAGTTCCATCTTTAACTAGATGAGCAGTGCTTTGTTTATTTACATTCAGGATGTTTATTTAATGTGGAAGAAAATAAAAGACAAAACCCTGTAATATTGCCACTACAGACTTGTAATACAAATTGACATTGTTCCATTAATCATCACACTGTGAATGGGTATTTAACCAGCTGCTGATCCACTTATGCCATCATCCACACTGTATTTCTCCCTTTGCCTCATTTATCTGCAAGTGAAGTCTTTTTGTGCAAGAGATTCTTGATTACAGCTTATTACTTGAAACCTCATGAGAAGCTTTATTAAATACTTCCTGAAATCAGAATGCTCTACTTGTTTGCTCTAGTAGTTTGTTAAAAAAGGAAGTATGATAACTTTGGCATGGCTTTTCCATGCTTTTCATGTCTCATGTGGCTCAAAAATTTTAAATGATATGTTGTAGAGTGGTACTGAGAATTCATGTTAGATTGTAGTTACAATAATTTGATTTTCCCACTTTTTTGGGCAATATTTCTTTATTTTAATCTCCTTTTGCCCCTCTGAGTCTTTATTTATTTATTTATTTTTTAAAGATGAGAGCTCCCCAAGCATTCATTTGAAATATATTATTACTTGCTTTTGCCTTATGGCCCAGCATATGGTTCATTTTTATAAATGTTCCTTGTGTCTTTGAAAAACCTGTGCATTCTATAGTTGTTGAGTGCAGTGCCCTGTGTCTTTGATCAAGTTTACTGTGTTGCTCAGCTCTTAGAGCTCTACTTAGTTTCGGTCTATGAGATTTGTTAGATATTGAGAAATATTAACAATCTCTCCTTATGATTTTGGATTAGCCTATTGTTTATGTATTTTGAATGTAATTACATGCATACACATTTTAAATTGTTTAATCATCCTGATGAATTTTAATGTTTTCTGCCCCTGGGTTGTTGCTTACCATTATTTAAGCAAAGAAAATGATTTTGCTAGTTTTATAAGCACCTTTTGATATGAGGCTTTGAATCAATTCAGTGTTCTCTGTTCCATTTAGGTTATCAGTTGATTGGGAGCCATTCTGGGGTGAAGCTTTGCAGATGGACAAAGGTATTTTTTTAGTGCAATTTTTATGTGGCTATTCTATATAGTCAATGAATTTTATCATTTTAAATGTATAACTTACATTTAATGACATGTAATGATTTTAAATAAATTTGTTAACTTGAATTAAGATATAGACTATTTTCCTCACCTCATAAGTTCACTTGTGCCTATTTCTAGTCAGTACCCCTCCCCCACAGCCAGGCAACAATTATTCCGGTTGTTCCCTGTAGTTTAATTTTCCTGTTCTAGAATTTCATATGGATGGAATCATATAATGTGTAATTTTTTGCAAGTGATTTCAACATAGTATTTCTGAGCTGTATCAGCAGTTTATTCTTTTTATTGCTGAGTACTATTCAATAGTATGACTATACCACAGTTTTTAATCTGTTAATAGATGTTTGGGTTGTTTTTTGGCTATTATGAATAAAACTGCTATGAACATATTTGTACAGTGCTTTTTTGTGAACATAGTTTTTAACTTCCTTGGGGTATATATATAGGAATGGAATTAATATATATATATCTTTATAAGAAACTTCCAATCTGTTTGTAGTGTAGTTATACTATTTTATATTTGCATCAACAGTCTATGAAAGTTCCAGTTGCTACATATTCTCACCATCATGTGGTATTGCAACTCTTTAATTTTATCCATTCTAGTGAGTATGAAGTGGTAGCGATATGATTCTAATTTGCAGTTCGCTGATGACTTGTTGATGCTGAGGAGCACTATTTCATGTGCATATTGGTCATTCATATTTATGAAGTGTCTGTTCAGATCTTTTGTCCAAATTGGGTTGTTTGATTTTATGTTATTGATTTGTAGGAGTTTTTTTTATATATTGTGGATAAGAGTGTTTTGCCCAGTGTGCATTGTGAGTATTTTCTCCTAAGTCTGTGGCTTCCTTTTTTATTTCTCTAATGATATCTTTGAAGTTTTCAATTTGAGTAAAGTCCAGTTTATAATTTTTTTCTTTTATGATTAGTGCTTTTTGTATATTGTCAATGTAAGAACATCTAAACTTTAGGAGAATTTTTATAAAAATTTATTTAGACCAAACAGAGGATATGCTAAGCAAAATCCCATCAGAATGAGAAAAATGCTTCCCAGAGTGGCACTTTGCAACTTTGATGAATTTGGAATTAAGGAGGGAATGTAAGGAAGATTACGTCAAGGTAGAGAAAGGAAGGTAGGGGGATTGGATTATAGATTACAGGATAGTGGAGAAGATCTCTTGAGGGTGGTTCTGAAAAGACACATTTCAAAGATATATTAGCCTAGATGCACAGAAACAATGGATAGGGCTTCCTTCCGGCAAAGATAAACCTTTTAAGAAAGAAGTTATGTGCCTCCACCCCCCCCCCCCCAAAAAAAAGAAGTTATGTGCCTAGGGCATGAATACTCATCCTTACCTGTCTATTTGAGAATTTATGATCAAATCACGCTATGAGGTTACTTTCTGTAGAACTCTCTTTTCATCTATAATATTAAGAAATCTTTGCCAGCTTGATGGTCACAAAAATATTCTGTGTATTCTTCTGTAAACTTAATATATGGTTTTAACTTTATGTTTAAGTATTTGATTCATCTTGAATTAATTTTTATGAATGCTGTGAGGTAAAGGTCAAGATTTGTTCCTTCCAGCCCCCTGCCCTACATTTGGATATTCAGGTATTTAGCACAATTTTTTTGTAAAAGACTTTCCTTTCACCATTGAATTACTTTTAGACCTTTGTAGAAAATCAGTCAACTGTTAAGTGTAGGCCTATGTCTGGACTTCTGTTATTCTATTTTACTGATATATGTCTATCCTTATGGCAATACCATAGTGTTGTCTCGATTATTGTAGCTTTGTAATAAGTATGAAATCATACTGTATAAGTTCTCTGTCTTGTTTTTTACCTTTATTTTTAACACTATTTCCACTCTTCTGGGTCCTTTGCATTTCCATATAAATTTTAGAATCAGCTTGCAAATTTCTGTTGTATGTATTTGTTCTGTTTTCCTAGATTCGGTGTTTGTCTAGTTGGCATCCATTCATCACAGGGCCAATTATGTTAGCTGTATTTTCATATTTTCTGTATTCTTAATACTCTGGCATTTGGAGGCCTTACGGATCTGGGGAGAAACTGACCTTCCCAGGGCAATATCCTGGCTTGAGCATGCCTGGCATATATTAACCAACCAATTCTGAATCTATATAGGTTGCAGCTACCTCCTTCTCTAATTCTCACACTCTCAGCCAATATTTTTTCTGCTTTAAATCATTCCAGGGCCAGGTGCTTAACAACTGGAGACAGCCCTATAGCCCAGCACTCCCAGGAATTATTCACGCTAGCCAATGCTACATTGTTTACCCTGCCTTGCCTTGCCTTTCTGGAGGAAACTCCCAAAAAGTCTGGCCTAGGCTCTCCCTTTGCTCTTCTCTTTTCCTCCTGAACAAAGCTGGGGCTCCTCCATCACTCTGTGTGACGCGGTGCGCCCCCTTTTCTTGGGAAATGTAAGTGATATATTCTTTCAATGGCATTGGCCTCTCCATTGTTGGTACTCAGTCACATCCATAAATTAGAATCCCATGGGTACAAATAAGAGCATTGTTAATAGCTTTATTGAGATATAATTTACATATACAGGTCGCCCATTTTAACGTACAGTTTAATGGTTTTTAGTATGTTGACAAGGCTTTGCAATCATTACGCCAATCTAATTGTAGAACTTTTGTCTCCAAAAGAAGTTATGGACCCATCAACTGTCAATCTCTATTCTTTCTCCTCCCCTCAACTCTAAGGTACCATTAGTTTACTTACTTTCTGTCTAAATTCGCCTAATATGGACATTCCATATAAATGGAATCATACAATATGTGGCCTTTTGTGTCTGGCTTCTCTCATTTAGCATTATGTTTTCATGATATATCCATGTCATATAAAAAATATTCCATTTTTTATGACTAGTAATATTCCATATATAGATATATCACATTTTGCTTATTCAATCATCAGTTGATGGACATTTGGTTTGCTTCTACTTTTTGGATATTATGAATAATGCTTTCTCCTGGAGTGCCCCTGCCCTCAATGCCATAATCCACAGTTGTTCTTTGCTTGGTACTTCAACTGATGACCCTTTCTAATAGATAACTCACTTCTTCAGTGCCTGTTGTTTTCAGAATATCATATTTTTCAGCATTTCTCTGCTGTATCCTTTTAGTGCCATCTGCTCTTTAGGCTTGTTGCTATTATTTATGGATATCTGAGAAACTCTTTTCCCTTTTTTTCATTCCTATTCCTCTGCCTTCATCATTAGGGGCATGAACATTCCAACCAATGACACTTCTGACACCTTCCGTCATTCAACATAATCTTGTCAGCATCTTTTTTTGGTAACCCTTTTAACATCCCACATTTGTTTCTTCCAATACAGTGATTTCCAGTAATGTCATACTCAATGCCATATGCTTTATAACCAGTATTTTGTAATATCCCTTTTACTATTGCTAGATTAAATTTACAGATCTACAAATATAACCTCACATACATAATTTTTTAAAAATCAGTGTTAGCTATAATGTAAAGAGAAAAGAAGAGATAGTTTGTATTTCTGTATGACATGCTCAGATACTATTACATTAGAAGTCATATGAAACCAGCTATATGCACCTACTTATAATGGATAAGTTTATATTTAAGAGGAGTAAACAGATCAGAAGTTATTCTGAACAAGAATTAATAACAAGCCAGACTAATTCATATATAATAAGAGAGAAAGAGAGACATAATCCTAATTTCCATTTGGATAATCTATAATTTGCTGGAATGCTAGCCAGCAAATTATGGATTATCCAAATGGAAAAAATGGGAAAGTAGGATGTATTTGCAAATGAATGGGGTCTCATTTATATATTGAATTAGAACAATTTCTTTGTTGTGGCTTGGGAGGAGTAGTGACAAATTGTCACAGAAAAAAAAAATCTCTGGTCTTGAAATTACACATCTTGTTAAGATCTGCATTCTGTCTCTAATTCATAACAAAACTTTGGTGGCTATATCCTTTAAGTTACAGTGGGAATAGAGGATGAATTGGAAACAAAAATGGTAGTAAGAGTAGCTGAGAGAAGTGTGGTAGACCTCTGGTGACAGTTTCAGAATAAGATTTAAAAGTGACAGGCAGCACCAAAATAAACAAATTCAATTTCAAATAATTATCCAAGATAGATTTCTTATCATTATGCTATGAAAATTAACAATTAACAATATATAGAATGACCATAATAATTTTTAAAATAACTTTGATTAGTGAGGATCCTACATTCCATATGTCTAACTTAATATTTGGTTCGAAGTCTACCAAAATATCTCAGATCTCTTCTATAACGTATTTGTAGGTGACACCTACAAATATAACATAGATATAGGCATTTTGTTGGTGACTCAAATACTAAAAACAGCACTGTTTTCTGTGGAGTGGTTTTTCAAAATGGTGAAATTTCACATAAAGCGTGTTCTCTTCCTTTAGTTTGCATAGTAGCTACATTCCTGGAAAATTCAGTGTATGGTAAAATTATTCAGAAAATCTTTAATTTGTAAAATAAAGTTGGGATGTAGGCTCAGATAATTATAATAAGGTTTTTCACAAGTATGGAGGCCTGGTGAGTCATTTGAAAAGAAGTGGACTATAAGACACATTTTTTTTCATGGGACTATCCTGACCCTTGCAAGAGATATGAAACTGTTGGCCCCACCTTCTCATTGCCAGTAGCATCTCCTGACCATTGTGCTAACAAAGATATTTTCATAGATTTCCAAAATACCCTCAGAGGGTGATGTTGGACCCATTGAGAACCTCCGCCCCAATGCATTTTCATTGCCACCCTGAGGTTCAGGTTGTCTTCACTACAGTTAGCTTTTCCCCCATCTCCTTCGGGCTTTCAGTGTATCTATCCACTCTGCCTTCCCTTCCCAATTTCTCTGACATTAATCAGATTAATCTCTGAAGTATG